TCCGCCTTTCAGATACCAATTCTGAGAAGAAAAAAGATCTCTGAAGAGCTATGTGTTCGGCATTCGGATCAAGTGTCCCATCCCACCTAAGCTGGGTTTTCTTCTGATGGCAGGACAAACTACAGGTTTTCATATATCATCATCATCATCATCATCATCATCATCATCATCACCACCATCATCATCATCATCATCATCATCATCATCATCATCATCATCATCATCATCATCATCATCATCATCACCATCATCATCATCATCATCATCATCAAACGCCTTGCTTGGAGAAGACACTGAGGGTTATGATTCACCCCCACCCCACCCTTTCATTCAAGGCCCTCAAAAATGAATTGTTGTTCATTGTGTTGTAAGTTGCCGAGATGTTCAGACCATCTATGAATCATGTGCGTTGGCGTGCTGGCTTTTCTAACCTTCGATTTTCCTGTCATACTTAGTCATTCAAACACTCTTTCTCTGTACAAATGCCCCATGAATTTCATTTGTCCCACCTTTGTTGTCTCGATGAGTGGTCTTTTCATGTTTGCCGTATTCAGCACTTCTTTTTGTGTCCCTCTATGTCCATGATATGTTCTTTTCTTTGTAAACTACATTTACTACTACTTTTAACTCACGTTTGATGTACAGGGTGATCCAACCCCCCACCCTCCCCAACCCCCTCCCCCCGCAAAAAAACCCGACAACAACAACTATACAACTTTTTTTGCAAATATCTTCCTCCATACTGGAGTTTTGCCTTTCAGATTTGAACATAATATTTGGAAGCCAAAAGGAATTTGTCTGATATTAATTTTAGATAAGTCCATTGAAAAGCATTGATTTATATGGTCCATTAAAAACAACAACACATTTTCAACCTTGTCCTCATTTCCGTAGCATGACGCACCAGTTCGCATTAGGCCTACCACTAAAAGTTGCAATAATCGTGCCATATTTCAAGCTACAGTAGTCTAACAAGTCAACAGAAGTCTGCAGATATTATTTTTTCCGAATTTTGTTTGCCTGCTGAGATCATGGCTACGTTTAGTAAAGAGCAGAGAGCTTTTTGTATTGAACATTACCTCTCCACAAACTCACGATCCCTGATATTTCGTAAGTTCTGCGCGCAGCATGGAAAGAATGCGTAGGTACTCTCAAAGCCTTTGGTGTCAAGAGTAAAGAAGTTCCGTCAGTTTGGATCCATAGCGAATCAGAATTAAAAATGTCCTTAAAAATGACCACTTCAGGTTGAACACGCAGCATGAACAGCCCTTTAAATGTTCACCAGGGTGTAAATTTGAGTTGTTGAGTCTCACGAGACGTCTGTCCATAGAAGATCTCCAGCTAGGACTTTCCTACACCTCAACAGGACTGTCCGATTCTCATGGCAGATCTTGACGTACGACTGTACAACTTTCATCTTCGCTACGCCTAGATGACATGGATCAGAGCATGGCAATTTGTTCATGAATCCTCGGTTGTCTCGAAATGTAGGATCATTTCCGCGATGACATTTGTTTTAGCCCATTTTCACCCTGCGAGATATGTTAACTCCAAAAATACTGTCCATTGGGCACTCCACTCCATATTGTCTCTAGAAGCCACTTCATACTAGATTTATACAGTGTATGTAGCTCTAAATACTATAATGGTTTAACAGGTCCTTGTGTTTGGGCGCCATTTAACATTTCGAACAACGCGATAAAAATGTGTCGAGCCCAAAGGAGGGCATGTAGAGCACTGCTTCTGGGAATTCCAGAATAAACTTATTAGTTTTTTAAAGTCTGTAAAAGAAATTAAATGTTTTTTAAACGTTACATGGACGGGCAATATCATGTGAAAGAGAAGATAGAGAAAAAGTCAACCAATCTTTTCACGACTTCCTTTCGGTTGAATTACGTCTGTTCCAAATTATAACATTCTTGTACAATTTTTGTGCGAGATATTCAGAAAAATGTTGTACAGTTTTGTTTTATCACCCTGTATATAATTGTCAATTTTCCAACTCGCACACACAGGAAAAAGAACTTACCAAATATACACATTTAATATTATGAGATTGTAGCGATTGTAATAATGTATTTGTTTGACACGATCAGGGATATCTTTTTAAATTTAGTTTTGGATGTGGCTTTTTTTTTTTTTACTGGTGATTTACATTTTTCCATCTAATCTGATGGTGTCATGTTACCCGGGTATTAAAATTTGTTGACGAGTTTGGTTTGCTTTGTATTGTTTTGTAGATTGTGTAATGGGTCTGAGCCTTGCAATGTGTCTACACCTATAAAACACACATAAACACACACACACAAAGGAATATATACATATGTACACACACACACACACACGCACTCACAGTGTGTATATACTCAGAAAACACACACACACACACACACACACACACACACACACACACACACACACACA